AAATTGATTTTGGTTAAACTACATTATTATGTGTAATTTATGAAGATAATAAATTTTTGTGTGAGAATATACCAGACTCTAGAATTAAATTGTTTTTAAATTATATTAGGGATTATGGTAGATAAAGTAGATTTTTAGAATTATTAAAAACTATATAAATTTGTAAAGGATAGAGTCTTGTTGAAAATCAATTGAAGATACTATCATTTTTATTACCACATTAAAAAGAGGAAAATAAGAAGGCTCATGAATATTTGCTTTGGGGATAATTTACAAAAGATTCAAAGGGAATTGAATTTAATTTCTTTAATGATGGATAAGATAAAGATTAGAAACATTAACCTTATAAATATCACTGTAAATTAATTGATTTACTCTTGTAAACTACATAAGGAGAGGAGAGTTATAAATTAAATACACCTAAATTAAAATAAATATTTTCATTGGGATATTTAGTTAATTTAGTTGCTGAAGAAAATGATGAATTTATTGAAGGTTATTATCCAAATGGAACAAAAGATGCAAATTAATTGAAAATTAAAGTTATTCTTTTTATTAATTGGATTTATATTTAAAATAGTTTGACACAATAGGAGGTTATGATTAAAGAGTAAGCTAATTTTAATAAATTATTTAACAAGGAAAAGGAGAGATTATTAAAATTAAGTTCATATCCAAATAGAGATGAATATTTGAAATATTTTTTTGATCATTTAGTACCTCTGTTTGAAAACTTTGTGAATAAAATTTATTCTCAAGAAAAAGCATAAAGAGATGATAATTATGAGTATTAATTATTATTATTTTTAGTGTACTAAAGGAAATATTAGAGACAATTGCTATGATGTCAGATGGAATATTATGTTAATATCTTACAAAGAATCAATATAATGCATTATATAGGTTGTATAAGCCATTTGAAGAGAATACAAATAGATTATAAATGAATTTCTCTTCAGCCATAAAAGATCAGAATGATGTATTATCAAGTAATAAAAAGTCTGTATATGAACCTCCTCCTCCTGAATTCATGAAGTCTTCTTTAAAGAAAAATTAAGTCATGACAATCTTCAATAAAAAAGAGAAATCCTTTTTAACTGAACAATTTAAGACACCTAATTCAAATGATAAATCTAAAATGTCAAGAAATAAATTCTCATAAACCTCCTAATAATTATGGGTTAATAAACCAAATTGGTTCTAATTTTTAGATATGTGTGAATAGAGTTAAGTGTTATAGGATAAAATTAAAGAAGAATTACATACATTAGCTAGTGCAATATTCCATATAGATAAACTTGTTTCTGATAAAATGAATACAAATTAAAGCAATTCTGTTAATCTTGATTTTAAGGGATTTTTAAAGAAATACATAAGATTTGTTGAATAAGGTATTATAAATAAAGCAGGAAAGAAGAATCTAATTTATTCATTATAATTATTAGAAGAATTATTAACCATAAATGATTTAGAGGAGATGCAAAATCTTTTCGATTAATAAAATGCTACTAGAATGATATTGAATATCATAGCAGATTATAAAATATATCCCTTTGATGATGATTTCTTTAATTAATTATTAAGTTTTGGGTGTAAACTTTTAGAAGGAGGCAATCCTAAAGTTTAAAAAACAATTTTTAATTACTTTTCAACATATAGTAGATCTGAGAATATTTTTAGTAAATTGAATATGGTTATCAATGATCATATTGAAGAATTGAATATTAAATACAAAATATAGAATGAAATGCAGAAGGAAGAAAAATAACAACAAATATTGCAATTAGATACTGAACCTTAAGTACCCTAAGATTAAGTTAATGATCACACTTAAGAAATGTAATTTAAATAAAAGTTGAGAGAGTCTTTGTTAATTAATGTGCTGAGATTTGTCTAATTGTTTTGTGAAGGTCATAATTTAGACTTATAGAATTATATAAGATAATAATTCAATTCAAGAAACAATTACAATTTAGTTTCGAGTATTATTGAATTATTATACATGTATCACTTAGAATTGACAAATGAAAATTATGAGAATATATTGAGATGCTTAGATACTTTGACAGAATTTGTTTAAGGACCTTGTTGTTAAAATTAGTAGACAATTATTGATAGCAAATTCCTTGAAGTTGCCAATTCTTTATTAGCCACTTAAGCATCAAAAACTAAATCTAAAGAGCATAGTTCCAAATCATTTTTTAGTTAAGATGAATAAAGTAATTAAAAGAATAGTTCTTCAAATTTGTCTGTTGGCAAAATCAAATCTGGCAAATCATTTAAAAATAATCGAATCAACATAAAAAAATATATGTTAGAGAGGATTAAATATAAGGTGATGGTTTTAGTCACAAGTTTATTAGAATTAAATTCTGATAGCTTGGCAATCAAAAGAATTATGAGATCCCTTCCAATAGAAATCTTAAAGAAGAATTTGACATAAATTTATAAAAAACATAAAAAACTATATGGACCTACATACACTTAAGATGCATTAAAGCATGTAATTTATATTTTTCTAATTTAGATTGATGAAGATCCAGAAGCTAACACAGAAAAGCCAGAATTTCATGAAGCAATATTAGAAACAGGGTTTTATATATATTTCTTAATTTTATATTATTATGAATTAGATACCCAAGAAATAGATTAGGAGACATCTACAGAATTGCAGAAAGCAAAAAATAGTTTGTTCAATAAAAATTTATTTATGGATTCATTGATTGGATAGTTGTTCACTTTTGCCTTTGCTATAATTGGAGGTGTTTTAACAACAATAAGTTAAGCCAAAAATTATTTGTAGAAAGCTGTTGAGAGGATTGGTCAAAAAATAGATTCAACAGAAATAGATAAAAAAAACTAAAAACAAAAAGAAATTAATCAAGAAATATTTAGGGAAACTATTTAATTTTTTGCTTATAATTCTGCTCATGTTGAAGTAGTCAGAAATAACTAAATTGAAAGAATTTAATTCTACAAACCTCCTTATTGCAAATATCTTCCTAAAGAAAGGAAAAAGGAATTCCATGAAACAGTTAATAGAGATTCAACTAATTCTAAAATATCAGATTTAATTGAACAAACAGATAGCATCATTGAAGTTTGTAAACATGAAGAAAAGCTAGCTGTCTTCTTTAGTAAAAACAAATTTATAGCAATATTTGCTAATTACGTCATTTTATGGAAAGATTTGGCATTTATACTAACCTTATTATTAAATTTATTCATCATTTTATCATATGCTGATAATGAAAATACAAGATCTCAAACAGGAGATGAAGTTGAAAGCATCTAAACTATTAGAAGGAATAGAATTAGTAATCCAATATTGCTAAATTCAAATCTTACTGTTGAAGAAACAGAATCATTATTTTTTATTTGCGGCATAATTATGATTGTTTGCTCTACTTTTGTTGTTTTATTCTTCTTATTAAAGAAAGCTCCACTTTATATAAAAGAATCTTATAAGAAATAAGATTTAAGTGAATATGGAGTTCTGATCAATTCTTTATTTTAGATTTTCAATTTTACTTATAGCATAGCAAGAGTACTTTTAAATATTGAGATCCTTTATTACTTATCATATGGAACCTTAGCATTTTTAGCTACATTTTACCATCCATTTTTCTTTGCATTCCATCTTACAGAAATTGTAATTCGATTCCCTTAATTACGTAATATTATTAAAAGCTTTTGGGAACCAAAATTATCATTATTACTCACATTTATTCTAATAATTTTGTTTAATTACTTTTTTACTTTATTTGCTTACATATTCTTCTATGATGATTATTCAGGGAAATGTGAAAGTTTATTATATTGCTTTTTGGAAACCTTTGACAAAGCATTTAAGAATAATGGAGGAATAGGTGGATGGTTGGATTCAAATTAACCTTAAGATCCAGGTAATTACAATTATGGTAGATTCTTTTTTGATAATCTCTACAACATTGTGATAGTAATTATTATGATTCAGATATTCTCAGGAATCATTATTGATACTTTTTCGTCTTTGAGAGAAAAATAAATGCAAAGAGATCAAGATATTTAAGAAACTTGTTTTATTTGTGGATTCAGTAGGTAAATTATTTCTTTTTATTATTAAATAGAGAATTGTTTGACAGAAAATCTGAAGCTGGTTTCAAATTACACACACAATATGAACATTATATGTGGAATTACGTCTTTTATATTTCGTATTTGAAAGAGAAAGAACCTACAGAGTATACAGGAATTGAATCTTATATTGCTAAGAAATTAAAAAATTATGATAACTCTTGGATTCCGATAAATAAAGCAATGGTGTTAAAAAATATGGTTCTGGAATCTCAACATTATGAAACAGAAAAATTATAAGATATCTAAAGAGAAATGGATTATATTAAGAAAACATCTTTTGAGATTTATAAAGAGATGGAAGAATTGAACATTCAATTTTTAAATAAGTAATTACTAAATCAAGAAAAATGATCAAATTGATGTTGTTATTCTTCATAATTTATATCATATTTTTATATTATAAATAATGAGACCTTAAACTTCTGAAAAGTTAGTTCAAGAATTTCTAAATGTTTAAATAAATTGATGACATATACATGCTTAAAGAAGTTGATTGCAAAAACTTAGAGACAACTTAAAAAACCAAGATTGCTTAAATTAGTTGAAAAAAAATAAATAAAGAAATCTTTAGTTTACAAATGAATTGAAATCATCTCAAGATAAGACCAGGAACCATTACTGAGAGAGAAAAAAAATAAAAATATAAGAGATAACTATTATAGATAATTAATGATGATGTCTAAGCTCTTGGAGACACATAAAACATTTAATAAAGGCAATCATTCAATTATTGTTGAATTAACAAAAAATTATATATACTCATAGAACCAAGATTCTTAGAAAGAGGAAGATGAAAAAGGACACCATCCTTTATGCTTAAATTGGAATTAAATTAAGAAGATATTGAATTTGTATTGGAATGAAGAAGATTTACTTATATTATGCCTAAATTGATTATATATTGTGATGATATTAATAAACATGCAAAAATTCCATTAACGAATTTGAAAATATCTTAATTGCTAAAATCTAATTTTTTAAAGATCGATAATTATGTATTTGATAAATTAATTAAATGTCTGAAATTGATTAACTATCTAATTTTGAAATCTCACAAAAATAGTTTCCAATTCAATACAACCTGGTACATTAACAAAAAAGAAAAAATCATTAAGAAAATTGTGTATTATCATGAATCCTTATATCAAATATCGTTTATTCCACCATCAATCGTTGTATCTAACAATATTAAATAAATTGGCTAATACCATTTGTCCATAGCTGATATTAAGACAAAAATCCTATTAACAACTTCATTAAAAATTAAGTTGAATTCATCATAACTCTCTCCTACTTGGGCATCTGTTAAAGTTAACATCACTGATTAGTAAGATTTTATAGCAGCACAGCAAGGATTAGCCTGTTCAGAAAATGGCTTTCTATTGAACTAAAATATTGAAACAGGCTTTAAGATTGTTTGTACTCCTGCTTCTTTAGAATTCTATCATCCTACAACTCTCGAAAAATAAATTAGAATCATTGAAGAAAATGAATTGTAGTAAATCATTGATTTAAATTTCATTTTACATTATGAATTATATACATTTTGTATCATTAATAAAAGTTAGAAAGTTTACTTTTTCAACATACGACTAACGAGTTTGTTATAATAGCATTATCTTCTTTTATTCCATAAAACCAGAAATCTATAGTATTTTTAGATCTTTTAAACATAATTTGATCTATCCCAATTTCTGATTTGATCTTAATGAATAAGTATTTCATCTTTAATATAGAGTACTTTTTGAAGTTGATCCTAAATTACAATGAAATTGACCTCAATTTTATTCGCCTCTTCGTATTCTAATCAAACTCATACTAATTGAATTATTATCAAATGTTGATTTTTCATATGATTCTCTAGTATAAGCAATTCAACATACAGTTCCATTTAAAATAGTTTTACTTGACTACTATTAGAATAACAAACTCATTTCAGGTAAAAAATTCCTTTCCATTTACTGAATAGGTTTTCTATTACTGAAATTATAATAAACAATAGTTAAATTTTACTAATGACTTTCAAAATATATAATATATATAATATAATATTATCAAATTTTGAGTAAAAAATAAACTCTACTTCACAATCCTTTACTATGTTTTGCATTAATTTCAAATTAAAAACAGAGAAGGGTTATTAAATATTATCAAAATTTAGTGGAAAGAAATTACATGCATCTTCTTATTAAGAAAATAATGATTCAATTAATATAATTAAAATTATACTTATGAATTGAGTGGATTTATTTATATTTATTATAACATTAATCTCGATGATGCGTATTATAAACTTTTTAATTTATAAATATTTCTTGTAATATCTTAATTACATTGTTTTCAAGTATAAGGGCTGCAAAATTTAAAGATTTTTAGCAATATTAAAATACATTCATTTACAAAACTATTCTAATTCTTATATGTAGCAGATCAATCATGTCTTCTATCAATTTAGCAAAGTTAACCTTCCAAAAACGATAGGAGTATTAGGATATGGAGCAATTGGAAAAGCCTTTACAGAAGTATTGTTAAAGTAACATCCAGGTAAAGTTTCTTGTTATTTTGGTTAGAGGCAAATGTCGTCGCTCTTGACAAGTACGAAGCATTTTTTCCAAATGAGAAAAGGTTTAAGACTATAATTTAAAAACGAACTCGAGATAACTTAACACATACTTTAGATGTTATGGGGTATTTCTCAATTATATCCTTGTAATATAGGTTAAAAGAAGGAGATACTCTAGTTGACTTGTCGACAAATATTGAATTTTAGGAGATTTGGGCACTTTGTGCAAAAAAAGGTGTTCGATATCTGAACACTGCTTTGGAGGTATGGGAAGACAGCGAGGATGCTAATTCATGTCCTGAGAATGAAGACGAAGCATATAAATTGACATTAGGATATATCAAGGACAATGCTAAGAAATCTCCATTTTGGTCAAAAGTAAAATGTTAAATTAACTTAGGGCCCTACTGCTTTATTAGAAACAGGATTTAATCCAGGAGTAGTATCTCATTGTGTAAAACGAGGTTTGGAGGATTGTGGAAAGTATTATCTTGAGAATCCTCAGAAAGATCATGATTTAGGCAATTTAAGAAAATATTTGAAAGAAAAAAATCATTCTAAATTAGCACAAGTACTTGGAGTACATACAATTCATTGCTCTGAAACTGACAATTAATTAATGGATGAAATACCAAAAGATGCCAAGACGAAATTCTATAATACATGGTCGTGCAGAGGATTTCTTACTGAAGGACTTGTCCCTATTTAAGTAGCCAGAGGTTCACACGAAGATACGAAAATACCTAATTGCTACACAATAAGGGAAGGTAAGACGATCGTTTCAAGAATACCATCTGTGAAAACATGGGCAAAGAGTTGGGTACCCAATTAAGATATTACAGGTAATTTCATTATTATTAAAAATTAGGGGTTTTGATTCCTCATGGCGAAGCTTATTCTATATAAGATTATTTAAGTGATCCAGAGACAGGTTACTCACCATCTTAATATTATGTTTATGATTATAATCCTTTGGCCAAAGAGTTCATCTAGAATTTACCCTCTAATGCCACTATAGACAATACTCATCCAGAAATGGAAGTTATTCATCCAATGAATCACACTTCATTGAAAGGCTGGGATAAGGTTGGAGCACTCTTGATTATGAAAAATAATAGAGCTTGGTGGACTGGAAGTATTATGGATGAAATTGATTGCTCTAATATTTATAATGGAATGTTTGGCCCAACTGTCTTATAGGTTGTGGCAGGAGTTTATGGAGGATTTTTGTGGACTTGTTAGCATCCGAACATAGGAGCCCATTTCTCTGAAGATGTTGAAACTGATGATCTTATTCGAATTGTAAGAATCTTTTTTTTAGTATTTCTAGGGTGAACATCTAATGGGTAGATTTATATCCATTCCAGTTGATTTGTCCAAAACTAAAATTAAGGATTGCTATAAATTGCAAAGTTTTCTATGCCAATAAATTTGATATTACCAATATATATAATTATTTAATTAAATATCTAAAAATGAGTTTGAGTTGGCTAGTATCACCATAAATTCATAAAACCACAAATGGCTATTACATCAATCATGATAACCTTATGCTTGGTAATTTTATCCAATTATTTTAGCCGGACCATAAGATAGAAGAAGACTGATATTTTATTTTATTGCTAGTCAAACCCCTGAAAAAATCACTTAAGAGGATCACAAGAAATTCATTAAAGAATAAACTATTGATGTCGATATGAGATCTGGTATATTTTCTTTTGGTGGTATATTCTTGGCTTTAGCAACATTAAGAGAACAATAAATGATCACTTCCAGAATTACAAGCAGACCCATTTTAAATGGTATGTTTATCTTAGGAGTTGGTAATACCATCTAATCTACTCGTAGGTTTGGTCTCAGCTGCATTTTCTTACAACTTATCCAAAGTATTATTCGAACCACTTTTTGTACAAAGAAATCAAGTTTTGTTAGAATTGGCTGAAAAGTATAATTTTTCAGTCTTTGATTTTGCCCTGGCCAAGAAAGAAGCAAGATTAAAATAATTAAGAGCAGAACTCACAAGCGATAGTAGTAATGCTGCTCATTTCTGAAAAATTATATTGCAATATCAATAAAAATATAATTATTATGATGATTAGAAAATTATTATCAAAAAGGGTCCTTTTTATTAGACCACAATTCTGCATTAATCACATGTATGATTAATCAATTTATTGGCAAGCTTCGATACTCAAGATCAATTTAAGAAGATTAGCAGGACAAGCATCGATAGTATTAAATCATCTGTGAAACCATTACCCTCTCCAACTGAAGAAGCCGGACTCTTTATGGAAGAAAATGAAGTAAGAGAATGTCTCCCTACAACACTTAGGTGGATGTGCGATTCTTAAAAGTTTTGAAATCCTTTGAAAAAATAGATGTCAAATCAGTTAATTGGGAAGGAGATTTAATCAAAGATCTAGGTTTGGATAGTCTTGAAAGAATTGCTTTGATCACTTCAGTTGAGCATGAATTTACGGCAATCTTTGAAGATCGAGTATTTGATAATTTGAAATCATTGTAAGACATTAAAAAGCAGATCTTAAAAGATGATTCAGCATTTTGAATAATATATTATTAAAAAATAAATATAAGATTATTCATAAGTTAGTTGATAGTTATGTGGTTCTTCTAATTATAACAAAGCCCTAAAAAAGGCTGCGTCATAAAATAAATTGAATAAATGTTAATATTCTAATAAATCCTAAAATTTCATAAAGAAATGTTATTTCTATCAATTTAATTCAAAGCAATTTTGTTTGAAAATCTATGATCAACAAAAAAATTGTATTTTCAGAAGAAATTCTTTTTTATTAGTACATCAAATTAACAAAATAATAAATTTCTTCCATTTTATTCAGAAAATGATAATTAAATTTTCTAATAAATGTTATTTATCTGTAGACAATTAGAAAAATTATAGAATAATATCATTTTTGTAATGATCAAATTTTTGATCGTTGGGATAAAATCTATTTTAGAAAAACAAAATGTTCAAATTTAATAATTATGATTGATCTTTTTAGTTAATATCTAAAGATAATTTAGAATTATTAAAGAATTTAAATATGGGAAGATGTTCGAAATGATAAACAGGTGCAAGAATATAAAAATATAATATTTTTAAGAATAATAATATCCAATTATTTTCAAATACATAGAATTCAATTTAATAATTCAAAAAATGCATCTTAATTATCTAATATACATTATTTAATTTCTGACATTCCTTTAATAGTATTATAATTCAAATAACCATGAGATAAGTTTTCATATATAGTTATTTTTACATCTCTCTACACAACTCTAAATCATAAATTAAAATTATACTGTAGTCTTTAAGCTAATCTAAAGACTTAATCAAATAATGGATCTTAATCCCCACAAAACAATCTCGTTGGTGGGAAATATTTTAAAATATCATATGACAATAATAAAGGACTCATAAATGGATCAATTCCCAATTACGAATCTGGATGAGCTGAATAAGATTCAATACAAATTCCTAAAATAGTATGACTAAGAATTTTATCATTAATTGACTTCAAATAACTAGGGGTGTATTAAAATCGAATATCAACAGCAGGATAATTTAATATCAATCCATTTGGAATTTATAATTTATATTTTATAGTTAAGCCAACTAAAGCAGTTGCCAAATTGCCACCAGCACTATCACCTGTAACAATGATTTTGTTTGGAGTTATTCCAAATATTTTTTCAGAATAATTTAATATCCAATTATAGGCCTACCAACAATCATCTAAAGGTATCGGATAAGGATATTGTGGAGCTAAACTGTAATCAATAGAAAAGATGGGAACGTTTAAATTGATTGCCCACTCTCTAGTATAACATTAATGACTTGATGAAGATTAGGAGATAAAACCTCCTCCATGAATATGAATGATAATCTTATCTTCAATCATGTTGTTTTGTTTGACGAAGAACGATTTCAAGAAGCTAAAAATATTATCTTGCTCCACTACATGTTGGTTGTACAATAACCTGATTCGTATTCTAGCTTTATTTTTCACAAATAAGAATTTGTCATCTCTGTGTATTTCTTAATTCACATACTCAATTGGCTGATTGGAAATTTGATCATAGATTCCTTATCTAATTTAATTATTTGCTTCTTAAATTGTGAGAGGTAGAACAACTGGCAAAATGTAAAATTTTAAGTTTGTAGAAATTTTGGGCAATCCTAAATTAATTAAATGTTTGACTCCAGGTAATTCAATAAAATTCATAGCTTAATACGCAGTATCAGCTCTTAATTAACTCATGTGGTCTTTCATTCCTTTTTCTGCTGCTGATCTTGATAAGAAATAGTACATTGAATTTAAACTTACTGAGAATATTTTACCCCATTTGCTTGTAGTCTTTTTGCAATCATTTACTAAGGCGTGACCAACCATTACAGATTATACAAATTTATCAAATGATTATCTAATTTACTCTGGATCACCTAAAGACTTTGTATACATATAAATTATACTTTTCTGGTAGTGATGCATTCTAGTTTCTTCCAAACTGGATGAGTACTATTTAAGGACATGATATCATTTTTGTCTGTATCAATAGCAGAAGGCATAATTAAATTTAGCATTAGAATTTCTGTTCCAAAAACCTTGATTTCATCTGTTAAACTTTGAGAAGCAAACATATGTTATTCATGCAATTTCAAGTGTTATAACATCTTTGGCAAAAACTTATTCTGTAAGTAATGATAAGGCACTTGCAACATTCTTATATTAACATCATCTGCCTTTAATGCTTTAATTTATCTCTCTTAAACATAATCTAAGTGATACGAAATAATACTTTATTTTAGTTCCAAGAGTATCTTACTTTCTTTTCCTTTACAGTTTGATAAGAGTTCATCTACAATCTATAATCCTTTCAAGAGAATAAAAAAATGCCTGTTTGCATTGTTGAAAATCCTTTATTTTTCTTCAGATTCGCACTTAATAGTTTTTAATATCTTGATAATGTAGTTCAATTTATCGATTACTAAATGAATATAATTATTCTTTAATACTATCTCTAGTAGCTTACAGGCTTTATTCTTGGGATTAACATAAATCTGTATTTCTGATTTAAATTTAGATTTCAGTTGGAACCTGTGCCTGGGAAGACTTGTAACATACATTGTTAAAGAGTGTATAATCATCAATTTCACTTGCTCTGTCATAATCTGATGAGATAAAATCATTCAGATGAGTTTTTGGAAATTGCATAATAAATATTTTAATTCTTAGATCTGAAGTTGTTAAATAATATTGTACTTAATTTTCATTAATCAACAAGGAAATCAGAATATTTTACAATTAAGTTAAATTGCAATAAAGTTAAAATAAATTAAAGAAAAAGAGGATCAACTGAAATTTTATAGTTGAACAAATATAAATTAGTAAAGATAAAGAATACTTGATTATAATTTAGAAACAAAAATATTCAGAGAAAACATTAGGAAAAAAGTTGTTTTTGAAGATTTCATACTAGTAAAAAATAAACTTAAGAAAATATGCTGCTAATTTATCTCAAGCAAAATAAACTAGAGAAAGTCACTTCAATAATACAATCTATTAGTTATTGCTTTTTCAATAGAAAAACTAATTAAATAAAAAATTATTCTAAAATAGTTCTTGAGTGATAATTCTCCAAAATCAGAATTAATTTAAAAACAAATAATTAAGTTTCCCTATTTTTGTCACAATAACTTAAAAATTTTGTAAATTTCAAACCATTTTATTATTTATCAAGTGTCATTTAAGTTCATCAAAATTTTAGAATTTCCTATCTAGTTTCCTACAGTAATGATCAAAAAGGGGAAGGATTAATTATTTTACTAATTTATATGTTTGTATAGAAAATTCTCAGATATATATAGGAAATCTCAATATTTTTATTTTTTTTAGAAAAAATATTCTTATCAAAAATTTAAAACACTAATAAAAATTTTTATCATTATTCTCCAAATATATTTTCATTAATAAAGGTCCTGAAACTCGTTTTGATTGCTTTTGAAATCTCGCTTAAGCCACCTCTTTCATTTTTAACTCTCCAAACTATTCTAGCATAATTTTTCTCTGAAAACCTTAAAGTCCATATATTACTTGAACCAGTCGTTTATTTCTGGTCAGATTTTTCTCTTTATCTTTGAAGTAGTCTTCAAAAACTCTTCCCCTCGTTTCTGCCTTAAACTCTTCTTCTTTATAGATCGGTCATCTTCACCCTATTGAAAATCTCAGTGTTTTCCTTTGTTATTAAAAATGATTTTGGGTTTTACTCCAAGATTTGATTATTACTTTTGGTGATTTATGAAGGAGTATTGATTATTTTTGAAAATAATAAAAAGAGAAATTAATGTAAAGTTGAAAAATAAATGGTAAATAGGATGAGCTCATTTAATTTGGAAAATGCGGAGTGAATTTGTAATAAAAAATTAATAATAGCCAGGGTTCGCCAAACTTGATACTTCTGCATAGGACATCACTATCTTTGTTATTGGGATTGAAATAATAGCCCTTTTTAGAGAGGATGCTATAAATTTCCACCCCATTGAAAATGTTATACAAGTGCATATGATGATTTATCTGTATTTATCACCTTAATAGAGAAATAATAAATAAATTTCAATTAATTATGGTTATTGATAACAGAAATTTAACATATTATTCAAGTTAATTCCTTCTAGTATAAATAAGAAGATTAGTTTGCAATTATGTCATTTGAATCATTTAGATTTAGATGAGGGGTTTCTTAACGAATTAAATTAAGATTGTTAATAAAGATTTGAATCCTGATAATTTTTTATTAGCATAGAAATAGATTTAAGATAAACTGTTTTTTAAGAAACTTTTATAAATAGAAACAACTCAGAAATAGATTTAAGATAAACTGTTTTTTAAGAAACTTTTATAAATAGAAACAACTCAAAAATATAATACCAACTTATATCGTCACATTCATTATACAATATCTTTTTATTTATCTCTTGATAGGAAAACATTAACAACTATCAGTATTTTGGATGTCATTACAAAAATTCTCCAGATTATAGATATAACGAAATTTAGGTTAAAAATGGAAGTTAACTTTTTTTATATCAATCACCTAACACGAAGTGATTATTATAAATTAATATGCCTCTAAAAAATACCATTCTCTGTTTGTCCCAGAAACCAAATTTTAAAGCTTAGTGAATAATTATTTTCTAATATTAGTAAATATTCACAAGCATTTAGGTGTGTGGCCAATGATTAATATCATTACTTTTGTACTGTTAATATATTTTGTTAGTTCAACAAATTTATCATCCAATTCATTTTAGGGGGTTAATATCAATTATATAAAGAAAATAAATTTCGTTTTTTTTTAAGACTCAATATTGCGAATATGTATGGTTTACTTTTATTCATTTATTCCTTCAATTTTTAAAACAGATTTGCTTTTTATTTATTATAAATTATGGATAATTTATTAATTTAATTGTAAAATTTAACCAGTTGATGAGTTTTTAAATCTAAAGGGATATCATTTTTGGTTTAGATATTAATTAATTTCGTGAAAATCCTCTTGAAGTTAAAAATGATTATACATAATCCCAGAGATTTATAAATAATAATTATTTGATGTATGTAAAAATTTAAGTCGAGCTTAAGTTAATCAGTAATTAAGATTTTGAGATAGTTGATAAGGAAGATATAATAAGTATCTCCTCCTTAAATCTAAAACCTTTTACGGGATATAATACTACTTCTTGATAATTTATGCATCTTTTCAGTCGTTTATACTATCTAATACTTTTAATATCAATTAGATAGGTTATGAAGGTATTAGCAAGAATAGAGAAGTAATTTTAAAAATTCTACAATCTCAACGTTTTAACTTTGTAATACGTTAGATTATATATAAGATTAACTTTATTTTTGAACTCTTGAAATATCTTTTTTATAATCTTTTTGATAAAATATATCTTTTCTTATTTATGAATTAAAAACTTAATCTTACAAAATTATTAATTTATTATTTTTAATATCAATCCGTATTCTAAATAATAATAAATTAAGAAAATCTAGTATATTATATCCTAGATCATTTAAAAAGAATGTTGAGTTAAATTAGTTTTTTAAGTAATTATATCGATCTTTATTTTAAACTCTTCATTTACTTCTCTATTTAGATTATTAATTTCATGTAGTATCATTTATAATTTAGTCTCTATAAATATTAATTTGATAACATTTTTTATGACATCTCTAAAATGATTCCCTTCACTATACTGACCATATATTTTAACAAGATAAACAAAAATGATGTGTATATATAATTGTATATAACTTAGAAAAAAGATTACTAACCTAACTTTAGAAAGAGAAAATGATAATTAAAAAACAATATAAAATTTTGATTGTAATTATAATTGTAATATTGTTAATGAATAATCATGCTGACTCTTACTTAAAGTCTTCTAAAAAGCAGCATCCTTATGATTTGAATAATTATCTTAAATCGTATCCTTCAGAATTTACAAAATCTCCATTCAAGATTAAAGCTCCCTTAGCCTGAAATATTGCTTTTTTGGATATAAGGAGTGTAGCGATGTAGTTGGAAGCTAAAAATATGATAGGGGATAAATACTACCTTCGGAAATATAGCTGTTTTATTGGAGTGGAATCTTAAATTATGCAAGAATATCTTTGTAGGTTTTATCAAAGGATTTATTTTCTTATCCTGTCCTTACATCCCATAGACGGATAGATTTATCTACACTACCAGAAGCTAAGGTATTCCCATCAGGAGAGAAACAGACTGACATAACATATCCACTATGACCATCTAATTTTGCCTTTTATTATTATAATTTGACATCCCATAGACGGATAGAGTTATCACCATCATCAAATTAATTACCACCTCCGGATGCTAATGTATTTCCATCAGAAGAGAAACAGACTGACATAACCCAATTCTCATGACCCTCTAATTTTGCTATTTATTATCCTGTTTTGACATCCCATAGACGGATTTCTTAATAACTACCAGAAGCTAATATATTTGCATCAGGAGAGAAACAGACTGAGTAGACCCAATCACTATGACCATCTAATTTGGCTTTTTATTATCCTGTTTTGACATCCCATAGACGGATAGACTTATCATCACTACAAGAAGCTAATGTATTTCCATCAGGAGAGAAACAGACTGACACAACATATTTACCATGACCATCTAATTATGCTTTTTATTCTCCTGTTTTGACATCCCATAGACGGATTGACATATCTTCACTACCTGAAGCTAATGTATTTCCATCAGGAGAGAAACAGACTGATCTAACATAACTAGTATGACCATCTAATTTGGCTTTTTATTATCCTGTTTTGACATCCCATAGACGGATAGAGGTATCACTACTACCAGAAGCTAATGTATTTCCATCAGAAGAGAAACAGACTGACCACACACTACCATTATGACCATTTTATGTATTTAATTCATGGATTCTTAAGTTGTTCCATTTACAATACAATAATAATGCTCCATTCAAATTTATTCCACTTATGTTGACATTATTAAATTAGGATCCACTTAAATTACACCTAACAAAATTAGCTCCTACAAGGGATGTATTTTAGATCTTTATATTTTCATAATTTTTGTTTTTAAGGTCCACCTAAACCTAAACTAATAGATGAAATGCATTAGACCCACATTATATAAAAGTTTCATCAATGGATGTGAGGTGAACTAAAAATTAGAGAAATTCTATGATCCTTCTATTATCCTAAATGAAGTTGATTAGAATTAATGTAAAATCTTCATTTTCTTCTGAGGAAAAGTCTTAGTTGTTGAAATCATGATCTTTTAATTTTTTTAAGACCTCTGTCATTTATTTCATGTCTTCTCTTACAAGAGACAATTTTTATTCAGTATCAGCTTGGGTGATATTCCTTACTTATTCTAAAATTTATAATTCTAATTGTTTCTGATTCCCAATATCTGATAAAAATCCAATGCAATCTTTACCTTTCTCCTTTCTTAATATTTCTAGTATGACACCAAAGATTTTTATATCTACATCTTTTACTGAATCAAATATGTCAGTTAGGTCCTTCTATTAAAAAGAGCTTTGCATTGTTTTTTTTTTTATTTTTAATATTGAATTTTTATGACTCTAATTTTAAGTTAAATTTTGAAAAAATTGATAAAAGTATCTTATGCATTTTAGTAAATTTGAATTTCAGACATTGTGTTAATTGGAAATTGATAAGAAAAGAGGTAGAAAATTACATTGAAAATTCATTTTAACATTTGCATGCTAGATTTTTGAAGAATATAGAATATCTTATACTTATATGAAATATTACAATTTATACATTTGAGTTCTATGATTGATTGATTTATTCTTGTTGTTTATCATCTCTGTTTAAGTAGAATTAACTATTTAAGTTAACAGTTTTCAATATTGGAATTTGCCTAACAAAATTTGTTTCACTACTAAGATAAGTGAAATAATGAGTAGAGAGTTTTCATTTAACAAGATCTAATTAGCATTATTGAATAAGAATAGGAAGAGTGATAAAGTTAGACCTATTTTACGAGCTTTGAATTTTAAAGTTCATAATTAGCAATTAGACTGATCTTGATGTCTTAGAGGATCTTTAGAGGACATCTATAAGGGTTTTAAGCTTATAGGTAGTCTCTAATGACCGACCAAGTTCTTCGAGGATGTTTAAAATAAAGTTATGGAAAATAAGTGAGTTGGTCATTAGAATAGGGCAATGTTAGTCTTATAATAGAAATATAGTAGCTTCTGATAGTAGAGATNGTATGACCATCTAATTTGGCTTTTTATTATCCTGTTTTGACATCCCATAGACGGATAGAGGTATCACTACTACCAGAAGCTAATGTATTTCCATCAGAAGAGAAACAGACTGACCACACACTACCATTATGACCATTTTATGTATTTAATTCATGGATTCTTAAGTTGTTCCATTTACAATACAATAATAATGCTCCATTCAAATTTATTCCACTTATGTTGACATTATTAAATTAGGATCCACTTAAATTACACCTAACAAAATTAGCTCCTACAAGGGATGTATTTTAGATCTTTATATTTTCATAATTTTTGTTTTTAAGGTCCACCTAAACCTAAACTAATAGATGAAATGCATTAGACCCACATTATATAAAAGTTTCATCAATGGATGTGAGGTGAACTAAAAATTAGAGAAATTCTATGATCCTTCTATTATCCTAAATGAAGTTGATTAGAATTAATGTAAAATCTTCATTTTCTTCTGAGGAAAAGTCTTAGTTGTTGAAATCATGATCTTTTAATTTTTTTAAGACCTCTGTCATTTATTTCATGTCTTCTCTTACAAGAGACAATTTTTATTCAGTATCAGCTTGGGTGATATTCCTTACTTATTCTAAAATTTATAATTCTAATTGTTTCTGATTCCCAATATCTGATAAAAATCCAATGCAATCTTTACCTTTCTCCTTTCTTAATATTTCTAGTATGACACCAAAGATTTTTATATCTACATCTTTTACTGAATCAAATATGTCAGTTAGGTCCTTCTATTAAAAAGAGCTTTGCATTGTTTTTTTTTTTATTTTTAATATTGAATTTTTATGACTCTAATTTTAAGTTAAATTTTGAAAAAATTGATAAAAGTATCTTATGCATTTTAGTAAATTTGAATTTCAGACATTGTGTTAATTGGAAATTGATAAGAAAAGAGGTAGAAAATTACATTGAAAATTCATTTTAACATTTGCATGCTAGATTTTTGAAGAATATAGAATATCTTATACTTATATGAAATATTACAATTTATACATTTGAGTTCTATGATTGATTGATTTATTCTTGTTGTTTATCATCTCTGTTTAAGTAGAATTAACTATTTAAGTTAACAGTTTTCAATATTGGAATTTGCCTAACAAAATTTGTTTCACTACTAAGATAAGTGAAATAATGAGTAGAGAGTTTTCATTTAACAAGATCTAATTAGCATTATTGAATAAGAATAGGAAGAGTGATAAAGTTAGACCTATTTTACGAGCTTTGAATTTTAAAGTTCATAATTAGCAATTAGACTGATCTTGATGTCTTAGAGGATCTTTAGAGGACATCTATAAGGGTTTTAAGCTTATAGGTAGTCTCTAATGACCGACCAAGTTCTTCGAGGATGTTTAAAATAAAGTTATGGAAAATAAGTGAGTTGGTCATTAGAATAGGGCAATGTTAGTCTTATAATAGAAATATAGTAGCTTCTGATAGTAGAGATGAGTCTAATTGTCTATTAGGATTGTTAAAAAAAATAATAGAGAGCAAATATAAATGACCATAGGATTTGAGTAATGAGATTCTCATTTGGTAGAAATATATGAGCTTCTAGTAAGGGATGTTACAATAGAGCAATAGAAAGCCAATTTTAATGGCTATGAGAATTTGGTAATGTAAGTCTGTTAGAGAAATAAGAAGCTTCTGAAAGATAAGAAGCTTCTGAAAGTTGGGATCATTCTAGCTATCTAGAAAGATGCGAAATGAATTAATAGAAGCCAAGTAAGATGGTCATTATAATTGGTAATGTTTCTCATCCGATAGAAATACATAAACTATTGGTAATATAGATAAATCTAACTCCCTAGATGCTAAGGGAGATGATGTTATATCAATCTGTTTTATTTCTGATTGAAATACAGATACATCTCGTATTTTAGGATAAGAGTAACAGGATATTAGAATCTGGTAGTAGGAACAAGCCTAGGCAGTCATAATTAAAAAGCTAACTCAGTTTATTTCTCCTTATATAAATATATTAAAATATTGTAGTTCTGATTGCTCTAACAAACACAAAAAGCCAACATGGATGGTCATATCATTATGTTAGATTGATGTGTTTCTCCAATCTTAGAAATATCACACTATCATAATTCCATCCGATTATTGATTTTTAAGACAGGGGAATAGAGAGCCAAAATAGATTGCCAAAGTCCTTATATCTTGGATTAGATCTATCTATTTTTCAAAATAAAATAAGTTTTTGCAGCGCTAATAAATCTATCGGTAAAAAATAAAATAAAATTTTATTTTTATTGGAGTACTATTCCAAAGACCAAAAGATATTCCCAACATAGAACCCTTCATAATTCAGAGAAGTTTAAAAGATACCAGAAATATAGGTGAAAATTTCCAATCTCTTAATTGGTCCAACTAGGAAGGGAGAAAGGTTTCTTCCAATTTAGAGAGTAAAGATCCCCATTACAAAGACTTCTCTCGTTATCTGTCCTTAGCTCTAATGAATCAAGGAACACCAAGTTTTAAAACCTATATACTCAATAAATACATCTAATCTCAATGTATTAGCATATATTTCAAAATCTCCAACAACTTTCTTTGCCCAGACACTATTACCAAAAAACTGAGACATCATTGCACCTTTCACCAACTTTCTCCAGATTACTTGCTTCTCACAATTCATGAAAAAATAAGCATAAATCAGTTGTTTAGCCTCAAAATATGGGATTTTTATCATACCTAAAAGTATTACGATCTTGCTAAGAGATTTAAACTATAAGGTTTTAAATTTAAAAGGTTTAAATATTATAGCATTTTATTCGAGGAATCCTTTGAATAAGAGAAATCTCTTTGAAAAATAGTCCAATTATTTCAATTCAAAAGCTTTATTAATTTTCTTTATTCTGTATTATCCTGCTATTATCCTTGAACTTGTCTAACTCCTTCAATCTTCTCTCCAACTCTTTTTACCTTAATCTTTACCATCATTGACTCAAGTATTAAACTTTTTTCCTTTTTATAAACTTTAATTTTTCCTAAATTTATGAGTTAATAATTTTTAATTTTGTTAAAATTGTTAATAAATCCTTGTAACATCTTAATATTAAATAGAGAGATATTACCGGTTTCATAGGTTTAGATTAAGTGCTAGCCTCTGTTAGCATTATTTATTTGGCCAATCCAGAAGATACAAAAATGGCATCTCTTACTTGTTTGATCAGATTAGACTTTTTAAAGATTCAATGACTTCATTTTAATTTTCATGTTCAATCTATGTACTGTTATCAAAATAAACTTTATTTTTCTTTTATTTTGTTCTTTTTTAATTACTTTCATATAGAGATTTGCTTGAACTTATGCTAATATTTCATGTTCTATAGTCTTTTTATTAAAATCTTAAATCTCTACTAAAGCATTATTAGACTAGAATCTCCAATTTTTTTAAATGATTATTAGAATAGTTTAAAAATTAATCTCATAGTCTCTTTTATCTAGTTAATTAACTATCTCTGCACACTTATTAGTATGATATTATCTTTCCATTTAATTAGATGGATGTATCTTTTAACTGTAGAGTATGAGTTAGGTACAAAAAGTCTTAGGTTATTGCAAGGAAAAACACTAGCA